GCTTAAAATTAGGTGGGAAATGTTAGCAGAAGTGAACTTTTGAAGAATTCTGTTGTATTATCTTTTTCTGACCTTGAGATAGAAAGTGAAGAAGAGTTGGAGCTATTGGACTTAAGAAAGTGCCTAAACCCATGAAGTCTTTTACATAATTAGGTATTGCCATGTTCTTTGTTATGAAGGTGTTAAGCATCATGGCTTGTAACCTGCTTCATTCCCTTGAGTTTAACTAAAGGTCATTTCTAGTTTTGGAGACTAAAATCTGAGCAAATTAACCTTGATGTAAAGAATTGCTGTGAACATTTTAAATTCTGGAAGAGAAGATATCACACTAATCTCATCAGAATCTTCTCTTTGCCACAAGGGTAACTTTCAAGTGCTACTTTCTATATCACTGTCTAATATAAAATATTAGACTGAAAATGAGTATATCTCATATTATGATCACTTGGATTCAACATGTAAATTTATGCATAGTACTATATAGTGCTCATATTTTTAAAGATCTAAGTATATGATGTTTTAGCCTAGCAATAAGCAAAAAGCTGGTCTATAGATTTTCTTAGTATAGTTATAAACAAATTTCTATCCGATACTTACTTAGAGTGTTACTATTTCTTGTAATTTCTTTCAATCATTACAGATGTATTAATGCATGGTTGCCAAGTTGTACACATGGAATTGCTTTTATGTGTATTCTTCCCTCTATCCAGAATACTTTTTTTCCTAAGGATCTTATTAATACATCAGAACTGGTTAAATTTTGCTTTCTCAGTGAGCTTTCCTTGACCAATACGACCTAAATTGGTCCTTCCCTATTATTCATTATCTTCACACCACGTTTATGGTCTTGAGAGCGCTTCATATTTTCAGCTAATCTAATTATAAGTTACATCCTCGGCCCTTGGCTACCAACTTCATACATCCTATTTTCCACTACTCTTCACATGTGCTCACATCTTCACACTGACCTCCTTGATGTTCCCAGCATGCACATATAAGGTTCTTCTCCTGAGTACATTCCCACAGATAGCTGCAAAGTTTGCTTCCTCACTTTTGCATGTCTCTTCTTCCATGTCACCAATTCGGAGGGCCTTCCTTAACTATCATATTTCAAATAGCAAACTCCCCACCCCCGTCAACTCCTTGATCCAGTCTTATTTTTCTTGCTAGTGCTTATAGTTATATATGTTATTCAGTGTGAAACTCTCTCATTAGCATGTAAACACCTTTAAACTCAATCTATTTTGTTCATTACTACTGCCACATTGCTTAAAACAGTGCTTGCCATAAGGTTGTCACTCAATACTTATTTGTTGACTAGATTAATTCCTTCCTTATTATTTGTTTCCCCTAATAGACTCTTAAGGACCATACAAGGAGAAATACTGTTTCTGGTATTCCTATAGCATCTCGTATATAGTAGGTGATAAAGGAATATGGATTGAATGAACTAATGAATAAATGAACGAATGGTTTGCAGATGTGTGTGTGTGTGTGTGTGTGTGTGTGTGTGTGTGTGTGTAATCTCTCTCTACAGGTAGACTCTAATTATGACAGAGACTAGAATTATGTCTGTTTATCTCACCAATATAAGCCAATCCTCCAGTAGGGTCTCACATATAGTAGATAAACAATAAGTAAATGAAGAACCCCCCAGAACTGGGACCAGAGTGAACAGGAATCTGTTGCGGTCATAGCCACCCAGAGGCCTCTATAAGGTTAATATGAGATCTTAATGGCAGATGGGGAAGAGTTTGGAGCAGTAAAAATCTTAAGCTAACCTGCTCATCCTTTCAGGGCCCAGCCTGGTAAAGGTTTGCTTCCCAGACAAGACCCAAGAAGCTAGTGCAGACTTCTAAGATTCTTCCTTTCAGATAGCTTTTGAAAGCTGGGAGTAGTAAATCTTAATTTCAATCTATAGCTCGGATTTGTTTGCTTGAAATTGTTACCCCGAGGATTCCAGATAAATCAATTTATGGTGCCAAAGGGCATCAAACAAGAAAAAATTAGGTTGTAGCATAAAATTTCCCGCTACCTGGAATAGTAACCTTGAAAACATCTTTTATCATTTCTTTCATGTTTTTCATTTGAAAAATAAAGATGCTAAAAAAGAACCAGTAGCTCTCAAGTTATGGATTATGTATTCAGGTTTGCTGAGATGTCCTTGTGAGGCTGTCAAGCATCTTATTTCTTTCCTCTCATTTGCCCACTTGCTATAATCTCCCTTAGTTAATAATCACAGCCTTGGTGAGCTATGTTACTGATGAAAATCATAAAGTGTATATGGAAAAAGAAAGGTTAAAAACCACTGGTTTATATTCTCCCTGCCATCCTTCCCAGGGGCAAAATGTTGTGAATCTATGATCTGTACTTCACTTCACAACTAAATCTCTATATTTTAACAGTGCTTAAGTTACTGCAGTCCTTAGTTCACGCACACGAACTTACATTCATTTGTGGTTTTGTACTGTGATCAGGGTCTATGCCAGGCACTGAAAATACAAAGATTTTGTAAATGGTCTCTTCTCTCAAGGAGCTCTATTTAAGGAAGAGACAGATGCAACAGTGTGAGAAATATTTTGATAGAGTCAAAGCAGCAGGTGACCTTGGAGCACATAAAAGGGCATCAGAACAACCTGGGAGACTAGGGTGATCTGGAAAACCTTCCAGTAGGTAACCAGAAACTGAGTCCTAATTTTAATTAATCAAATTAAAGCTGCGCAGTGTCGGAATCATGTAAGCCAAACTCTTTGTGAGGCACAGAGGAAAACTGATGCCCAAAGAGATTAATAGACTCAACCAAGGTGAGTATCAGTTACAACTAGAACCCAGATAAGCAATATTGGGCTGCCTCTTTTAAGAGACTTCCATTTTTTTGTAGGCAATTTTTCAGAACTCCTTATTTTATCAGTTTAATGATGCAACTATATCTTAATCAGGTAAAGAGAAAACTATTTTTATATATTGACTTTATGCACAGCGATGCTGCCAATAACCCATCATCCATAAATTACAGACTTTGCAGTGAGCTGCTGGTGAATTTATTCAGATACATCCACAGTCTCACCCAGCTTGCCTCTTGAGGTATTTACTGCATGAAACTAATCACACTGGGAAGGACAGGGACAGTCTGGCTGTGAACAAGAACAAACTTTAAGAATAGATCTTGGTCAGATTACACTTCCTCTCCACAACTGAGAGAGGCATCTAAGGGCTAAGGTAATACCAAAAAGTGAAATATTTTCAGTAGTAGGTAGTAGTATATAAAATCACTCAGGTATGCAATTTTCTTGGAGTGTTTTTTTTTTTTCTTCTTCTTCTAATATAGTCGTTTTACTTGGGATATTTAAAGACTGATTTAGTAATGGGACGACATAAGAGCTCATCACATTAAAACAGAAATGGTTAGGAAATTCATAGTTTCTAATAGCATGCCCACTGTTTGGCTCTTAGCGGCAACAGATTTAATCCTGCTTAGCACAGATGATGATATTGGGGTGAAATCGTGGGTTATACAATTTACTTCTGAGCTCTTTACTGTTAATAATTTACTAGTTTGCATCAACATTTCCCAATATAAAGTCAATTTTTTTTTTTTTTCAACTCTTACCACGAGTAAGATTGCTATGGGCACTACCTAACATCTATTCTGGGGCCAACAGACTGCGTTAAACTCACCCACAATCTTTCCAAATTAAAAACCTCACTGAGTTCTTTGGCTTTTTCACCGTAGTCGCAGCAGGATGGTCTTTTACCGTGCCCCACAGTCCAGTTTAATCCGCTAGAAAGAGTATTTTTAGAGGCACATCGAACTAAATCATTTTCGTCTGAATACACCATTTCCAAATGGCCGCCCAGGGTCCTAAATCCTGCCGCTGCGGACGGGGACAAGCAGGTGTCCTCCGCTGCAGGGTCGTGGGACGCAAGCGACTTCACAAGTGGGCGTTGGAAGCCAGAAAGGAAACCCGAACGCACGGGTACAGGTATAACTAACCCTTAACGAGCGCGGCGGGGAGGCCGGGATCGCAGCGGAGGACTCCATCCCCAGGCTTAGGGAGGTCCCGGGGAGAATGCAAACACTGCTTTCCCCTTGCAAGGCGGAGAGCAGGACGCACAGGGTCGAAGGTCAAAAGTTGAATTTCAATCCAGCCTGCGATGCATCCCAGCGCCTTCCGCAGCCGCGGCACCGCGGTGGCACCGGCTGGAAGAGGAGGAGGACGGCTGGGGCAGGGGAAACTGAGTTGCCACAGCCGGAAAGCGGCCGGCAGCGCGGACGGGCGCGACCCCACGCGCACACGAAACGCACGGCGGGGAAGAACCGGGCTCGGCTGCCGCGACGCTGCACCCCCGGCCGGGGCACAGCTGCCCGCGCCCCGCTTTGCCCTTTCGGCCGAGGGCAGCGCCCCGCTTTGCCCTTTCGGCCGAGGGCAGCTCCCCGCTGCCGTGCCCCCGGAAACCGGCCGCCCCGGGAGCGCCGCGCCTGCCCCGCAACCGGACCGACCATCGCCCCTCGGCGCCCGGACAAACTTCCTTCTTCCTGGGCCCCCCGGCCGCTCTGGCTGGCATCATGCTGCTCCCCCGCCCGGCTTTCCAGGTCTCCGGTTTACAGGCGCCCCCGCCCGGCACGGCGAGCTTCCTCCCTGCCCCAATGCAACCCCGAGCCCCGGGCGCCTAGCGGTCCCCGCGCATCCGCTCCAACAAAGCAGGCGGCCCGGAGGCGACCCTGCGAGAGGCTGGGAGTGGCGGCGGGGGCGCCAAAGCCCGGCCAAGGCGCCCCTCGGCCTGACGAGTGCGGCGTGAAGGGACAGCGGAGACGTGGCGGGCAGAGAAAGGGGAAGAAAGTATCCTGCTCTCGGCGCGAACGCCTTGCCTTCTTCGCCCGTCCTCGCTCTCTCTGCTCCCCCTACCCGAGCGCGTCCGCCTGTCCCGGTGGCAGTTGGCAGAGACAGAGAAGGAAGCAGAGGGGACGCGGTAGCCTGGCTGGCGAGCCGCTCCCTTACCTCTGTCCAGAGTGAGCGGCTGGACCACTGTCAATGTCGCCATGTCTGCCGTGGGAGCCGAAGTGACGCTCGGCTTCAGCATCAGCAACCGCTTGTAGTGAGAAAAAGAGGAGGAGATTGGGGGCGGGGGTGGAGAGGGAAGACGGAAAGGAGGGGGAGGAGGGAAAGAAGGGAGAGGAGGGAAAGAAGGGAAGGTGGTGGTGGTGGTGGTGGTGGAGGAGAAGAAAGACTGGGTGGGTTGGCAGCCAGATGGAGACACAACTGTTCTTGGCGGGCCGACCTTCACATGCGGCGTGAAGCTGAGCAGGTATCGGAGAGCGACTGCCTCGCTAGCTCTGGGAAGGAAGGTTCTGCCCTAGAACTTTGCTATTCCCCCCTCCCCCCGCCGCCCCCACGGAGAGCTGGATGGGTGTAGCTTCTGTGTTTTATTTCAACTTTCCACTCAAATAAAATGGTCAGAGTGTACGTGCGGCTAGAGGAAGGGAGAAGATTGAAAAGGGATATGAGTAGAGATTAAGAGAAATTGTCAACACTGTAATCCCGTCCCCTGGAGAGAAAACGCTTCTAGTGCAGACATGCTGGGATTTAATTACAGTTGCTGTTAAGGTCTGTTCATGGTTTTTTTTTTTCTTTTTTCTTTTTTGGAATGTTGACCTATAACAGTATATAACCGCCAGAAGGCCAGGGTTCCATCAGTAGGTCTCCATTAAGGACCTGAGTATATTACCTAAAAAATAATGTACCTTAAATGCAAACTTCTTAAAAATAGTTGTACGTTAAAACAAACAAACAAACAAACAACAACAAAGTTTGTAAAACATGTACCTATCACTTTTTTAGGTTGATCTGTAGCCAGTGGTTAGTCAGAGCTGCCACATATTAACTTGCGTGTCAAGAATTGAGCTAGGAGTGTTACATGCCATGTGAATGTGCCATGGCCTGATTTAGGGATTCAACACAGTTCCTGCTTTCTCATAGCTTATGATCTAATGGGACAAGATGTTATTAAAAGGGTGACTTCAGAGTCAGTTGATCAGAATTCAGTTACTAGAACCTTCAAATACTGGCTGTGACCCCTTCATCCCAACAGACTGTATTCGCTATCTTGCCACTGTTGGGACTCTCATTTCTTGATAAAGAAATTAAGACGTATAAAGAAATCTTGTTTAAGCAGAACGGTGATGACAGTTGGTTTAGGATAGTAAATGACAAAGCTGCCTCCATCCCCTTCCCTATAACAGAGAAATATTTTAACTAGCAATATAGTCTGTTTTATAGCAAATTATTGGCACATAAACTATGTCATTGTCTTCTGATGACAATATAGATGATTTCTGAAGATGTTTTCCATCCATGGTCTACATTTTTATAAAAGAAAGCAAGATTTCACCAGCGATTGAGAAATCAAAGATAATTGGTCATACATTTGACAGACCCTAATGATATCTCTAACATAGTAGTTCAATACGCCTATATTTTCATTTAATGTTTTAGAAAGAACTCTATTATTGAAATTCAAGTCTCAGTTATGTGCTCTTCAGAAAACACATAATTTCTCAGATTCACAGTTTCCTCATCTATCAAATAAGGGAATAACTTTCACTCTCACTGAGTTTCTATAAAATGAGGAAACTAATTCTACCCTGCAATCTCACCGAGTTTTCTGAGGGTCAGATGAGATCGTGCATATGAATGTGCTTTGAAAACAGTAAAGTATATACAAATTTATTCATGCAATGAACATACATCTCACATGAATAGTGTGGCAAGCACCCTGTTAGGTGCTGGCCTTCCAAACAATAATGAGATGTGACCCTCTCCTCAGACAGTCCTCAGTCTGGGCTGGGAGACAAAATAATGAGCAAGCTAAAAGAATTTCATGCAGTAAATGCTCTAAGCACCACCGAAAGGAATTGTCGTGGGAGACAAGAAGAAGCAACAATTCTGCTTGATTGTCATTATTCATGTACCCTAAATCACACAACAGAAAGAAGTTGACTTTTGCACAATAAAAGCAGAGTATGTTCTAAGGTTTTGCACAAAATATCAAACCTCATTCAATAACTGAAGATGAAAGAGACATACAAATCCCTTGGCACTAATGTAGTTATTTTAAGAACATACTTTATTATGAATATGTATTTGAGCGGTTGGATTCATAAGTCTAAAAGCTGTAATTGTACCTATTTTAACACAAATCCCAGATAATGAGGTCTATGAAGATAAGCTTTTTGTTTTCTTGTTTCCTGATGTATCCCCAGCACTAAACATTTAATAGCATGTTTCTCTACTTATGCCTTGAGCGCCTTAATTTAAAATTTATTCTATCATTCTCCGTATTGGCTCCATAGTTTTTTGTAAAGATTGAAAGAGAAAGTAAGAGGAAGCACAAATCATATGTTCATCAGTTATTATTTCTAGTAGTGGCAAGTTCAATGCCTTTAACTTATGCCTCAACAGGTGTAGAAAATGAATAATAAACAATCCATTATCTATTAGAATTTGTTTTTGTATGAAGTATGAGTAACTAGTGTCTCTCCAATAACATGTGAATTTATATTTGAGACATGCAGAGACATAAGAAAATTTCCTTAATCTCTTCTTTGCTTTGGTAGAAGTGACCATACTTAGGTCTCTTGAATAATTGCCTGGGCCACTCCTGTACCAACCAGTGTTTCATGAAAGTCAGTATACTTGATCTATTCATATGCATGTTGCTTTTAGCTATTTGCACAATCACTATATTTTTAGTGCATTGGTTTCTATATTTTTAATAGAGTTCATTAACTCAATAAATATTTACTAAGTATTTTATATGTGCCAAGCTTGGTGCTAGGTTTTCTCTTTCCTTCTATTTTTCAGCCCAGAAAAAGTAGATATTGTTATCCCGTTTTATAGATAAGTAAACTGAGACTGAGAGAGGTTAAGCAATTTGCTTAAGGAAAGTAACACTTGTATTCAAGAGTCCCTGTGATGTCCACTAAGAAACACACTTCATTTTGTACTATCGAAGACTTTGTGATTTCAGCCTTTTATTTCAGAGTTCCAGGTATATGTATATCTCTATCATCTATATCTATATCTAATCTATATCTCTGTCTATCTAATTTATTTATTTCAGAGTTCCAGCTATATCTGAAATACATATACACACATAAACTTTCTCTTTTAAAATTATGTTGGAGATATACTCCAAGAGAGAACTGTATAAAGGAAATTTAAGTCAAAGCAGAAAAGAACTGTAATACTGGTTCCATTCTATATAAATATAAGTTAATATTTAAATGACTACCTACCTCGAAATATAAAATCTGTTTTTGTTAAAAAAATTTATTCAAAGCCAAATTAAGGTCTGTTTCACTTAATTGAATCTTTTTAAATTGTGTGGCAAAATCAAGAGAAAGTTTACATAAAGCATTAACATATCAAGAAAATGTGTTTAGATTGTAAATGCACAGTTACATGTGAGGAAAATAGTACCTTCGAACTGGAATTCTTTCAGCCTTTGGTGTTAGGAATTATTTTTGATTGATTCAAAATATCATGTTACCTTAATTCTCACAGCTTTGTCAAAATAGCAATAGACTAAGATGAAGTGCCAGCCAATACTTTGGAATACAAATGTTTGTGGGTTTTTAAAAAAATCATCATTCATAGAGAATCTTACTATATTTATTTTATCCTGATATTTGTTTCAATAACCACTTATCTGTCTGCTCATTCAACAAATACTTAATATATTTACTGTATGCCAGGCACTGTGTTAGGCATTGGGATTGCAGTGAACAAGAAAAGACAGAAAAAAAGTGATAAATAAACAAGAAAGAGATCAATTAAGGACTAATTGATGAATGAATGAATGATTTGACAATTGAATCAGGCCTAGAATAATGTCAGGATTACAGAAAACAGAGATAGGGAGAAGAGGGCATGCCTGGGTGCAAGAGAGTCAAGCCAGGAGTGGGAGAGCAGGCAAGGTGCTTGCTTGGGTCAAATAAGCAATTTAATTTGGAGTGTAAGAAAAACAAGCCTAAAGACAGCCATTGAGAGTCAGATGGTGAAAGATATAATTAACAGAAATATAATAACCTTTTCATGGCTTAGTCTGTACCCATCATACATTGAAATGTACAAATACAATGTGGACTAAGGAAAAAAATCATGTTGTAGCACCTACGTTAAGAATTACTAACATTAGAATGAAATGAAGAGTTACTAAGTCTGCGTTGGACATTAGAAAATTAAAGATGAAATAAAAATATTAGAAGTCAATTCTAATTTTTTTATTCTTTTCAAAAGAAATAGAAAATAACTGAGAGAAGAAAATTTGGAATCTGAATAATTTTTCCTCAGTTGTAGGATTTTATTTGCATTATTTCACACTATCAGTTATCATGCAAATTGTTAAGTATCATAATTAACTTTGATTCTGCCATGGGCAATAGCACATATAATAAGTGCAAAGTCTTTCTGGTACTAAGGTGTTTTATTTATGCCTATTTAACTCATAGAATATAAAATGATGTTTTTGTTTCATATTGAAATGAATATTTTTTCTACTTTCACAGTTGGAAGTTAGATCTTTTTATAATAAAAATTAAATTCAAAGCTTATATATATATTTTTTTTAATGCATCCCAACCTCATATTGACAGACACCATCAGGAAACCCTAAGAGATACAAGAGAGGCAAAATAAAATGATTTTTTAAAGTGATACTAAACTCGTCTTTTTCTCACATCTACTCAGGAGATTTTCCAGACTTTTAGAACTGACAACCTTTAATGGCTTTAAAAATATTTCTATTACCATTTCACCTTAAAAATTTTAATACATTAAATTGTGAGTCCAAAATTATGCTTTTATTCAACAAATGTTTATCATGCACCTGCTGTATACCAGGCACTCTTCTGGAAAGATTCCATGATAGACATAGAAAAAGTGCCTTTCCTTATAGAACTTAGTTTTTATGATGGGAGACATACAAATAAACAATACAGATATAAGTAAACAATACACCAGATAACCTTAGGTAGTAGTAAAGACCACAACAGTGATATGCTGAAACCTGTTCACACTGTTATTCAAGACCCAATTATGTGCATCTTGGCCCAACATCACTTTCAATGACATCATGTCGATATCTTTAGATTGGCCGTGGTGGGAGTATTTACACCATGGGTATTGACAAAATGCTATATATTGAAGTTTTCTTATTTTTCCTCTAGTAATCCATTTGTTAAATATTCATCAGCATACCGCAAAGTCCACAAAGAAAAGCAAATAGAAAGTTGTGAT